AATCAGAATTCCGGGGATATCTTTGAATATCATTAAGTCGAAGTTAAAACATGATTACGATAGCTATATTGGTTGATTTGATTTTTATGATGATTGTTGAAAATTTCGAATTTTTCATGAATTTCCCTGAAAGTGAGCTTTCTGATCGTTTCTTCAAATGTGATGTTTCAAATTCATTCAAGTATTTGTAAATAAAATTTGTCTATAACATTTTATCGAAGGTCTCAGAGGAGAGGTAGAGCCGTAAAAAAGACAATCGGTTGTAGAGAAGAAAGGGATAATAAGAATAATGATGACGATAACATTCAACTGAGTTGAAAATCTGCCAAAATTATTTGAAACGAAGTCTTATTCAATTTAACAAAATGAAATAAAATTGGCGCTCAACTGTCCCTGAAACTCTCAATTTTTTTCCACCACCGCATCAAAAATTACCGAGTGCTTCCCCAACTAGATCTTGACCCTCACTCCACAAAACCGTTATCACTCAAAAAGCCATTGTGCCTCGCTAACCAACTCTCTCATAACCCTGAAAATTAAATGACACAGGAATGAAATTTAACGGATTTACCGTTGGATTTTGAATGAGTTGACGTTGGGATATGAATGTATGGTACATAACGTAAGTGACGGTGAGTCTGTGGCCTTTCTCCGCTAATGGAAATTAGGGGTGAACGCGTTAGTGTCAGAGTGATGCGCGGCGTCAGCTACACTACACTACACTCTACTTGAAACCTCAGTGTTGGAGTGTAAACCTATAGGGAGAGCGGGTGACGGGGGGAGGGAGGAGAGAAGAAGGGCGCCCTGGGTTGCTCCCCCCCCTCGTGAGGCGTGGTGTGACGAGAGGATTCTACCACCTGAGAATGACGGATCCATTGTTCCTTCAGCACCCTTGAGAGTACTTCAAAACACGGCAGGTAGATGACGTAGGAAATGCTTTATTCATTACTAACAAAACGTGGCCTAAAAACTTTACAGTTTTTTTCCCTCATCCGCCCCCACGAATCAACGGTTCCGAAAAAAAAAAATGAGGGGAAAAGGGAATTCAAAAATGATAAAAACAGGAAAAACCTTGGGAATGAGATTAAAAAAGTTTCGAATGTTTTCATCACTTTTTACACGTTTTTTCGACTCAATCATAAACCCATATCCATTATTTAGAGCTCGAAAAGTTGAAATGTGAGAAGGAGGTCATTTCCTCAGTAAAAAGTTGAACTATACACGATGGAAATTTTCCAAAAATTCTTTTCAAACAATTTCAAAACTTTAAAAACTGCTTGAACTTATAGTGAGAGTTCGGGGGAGCCGCGGAGATAAGATCGCAACGAGTAAAACATCCAAAAAACGTTAAATTTTCGTGGACATTGGGGTTATTTAGCTCTGAATTTTCATCATTTTAATGCTCAAAAAGTGGGAATTTCATTGAAATTTAATTACTTCATTATTTAAAACTCAGAGAAAACTTAAAAATTCATGTAATTATTTCCTTGAAATTTCATCTTCCAATTAAAAATCCAGGTAAATCCGGGAATTGTCTCCCTCCTACTAAAAAATAAAAAAATTCACTGAATTTTAGTAAAAAATCCGAAATTTCAAGGACTTCTATGAAATAAAAATTCCCGACTCCCCGTAAGAACAAAAAAAAAGCATAGATTCCAGTTGACCATATCCCCTCAAATCTCTCAAATAAACTGCCACCGCCCTGACCCCCCTATAATCCAAAGAAAACCTACACCCTCCGCCCCCGGATTATTAAGTCATCCTCGTCATTATCGAATCCCCGGAGATCTCGAAATAATTCCCCTTTAAATAATGACTCTCTCAAACCCTCAAAATCCAAAACAAGGAAAACTAAGACAGGTCATTTTTAACTTGACGAAATAATTCGAGGGCCGATGTTTTTTTTCCCCCCGGGATATTCGTTGCGGTTTCAAAGTTAACGTTAGAACAGTCTAGTTGGGCCCCACGAAAGCGTCGAGAATCTTGCGAGGTCGGTTAGGAGGAGTTGGAGTCAGTCAGCATACCTGCCCGCCAATTATCCTCGCATCTCGCCCAACTGTTCCCCCCCCC